AACTTTTACAATAAATAATAAAAAAAAAAACTCACCACTGCAAATGAAAATTTTCGGCCCTTCCAACAATCTTTTAACAGAAAAGGGGCAGCCAGCTGAACCTCTCAACAGTAAGATAAGATCCATATCGATTATCATGTTGTGAAGCGAGATCCAGTATAGTGCGCCCTTAACAAACGTGCTTCCATAAATTGCTTGAAGGCAAGATGATGTAAAAAAAATTTCGAACGGAGGTGGTCGGCCGGGGTCAGTGGCGGCAGCCGGAAACCGGCGGCGGCGGACGGCGGCATTGGTGGCGGAGGCAGCAAACTAAAAATTCAGTATTTTTTATTTTTTTTATAAATATTTAAATATATTTTTACATTTTTTTATATAATATATATTTTTAAATAAATTAAAATATGATTTTTCAAATATAAGTATATATTTTGTGATTTATATTTATATTTAATATATTTATATATACTAAATAAATAAACTATTATGTAAAGTATTATACTAGATAATATAATAAATTATATATCATTATTATTATTAACGATTTTTTAATATTTTAATATGTATTAACTAAATATATTAATATTTAACAAAATATTAATGAAATATTTTTTTATTTTTTAATAAATTTCTAATATATATTAACGAAATATAAAAAAATAATATTTTTTTAATATATGTTTAACGAAATATTAAATAAAATATATTTTTTCATTTATTTTTAGATTTTATTTTATTTTATTTTATTTATATTATTACTGTTTTTATTTTTTTTTATTTTTTTTGTTGATGTGTCTTCATTATTTATTTATTTATTTATTTTATTTTTATTTTTTTTATCTATGTGTAGTTGTGTACATAGAAAGAAGGATGTCATATCACGCCACGTAAATAAGACGTAGGGAATTAAGAAAAATTAAAATGCCACATCATTACTTTATTTGTCCACGTTCGCATTTTATCCGGATTGGGTAATTAATGTATCTTAGTCGGCCAAATTAACAACTAAATGTATCTTTTCAGTTAGGGACAGCATAATGTCTCGTTTTCTGACAACGCCCAACTTGGTGTATCTTTTTTAAAATTTTGCCTATGAAAGGTATCGAATAAATCGATCACTCTATTTACATTGTTGTTCTCTCTATTACAAACACACTTTTTATGACTTCTGCGTCGGAGTATTCTTAGGAAGAACTTTAGGTGCTTTGAAGATTACCCAACGATCGACTAGCGGAGTACTAAATTTGGTGTTGTTCTACCACTATATAACATAATAAAAATGAACTTTCATATTCAAATTAGTAACTGTTAACTAATATTTATTCACTTATAAGAATAATAATAGTGAAGAGTAAAGTAGTAAATAATAAATAAATGAAAAAAAGCCTAAAAACACATTACATATACACTTGCAATTAATAAAGGCTACACTCTCCATATTTTGGACAAGAAAATAATTATTATTATTATTTAAAAAAAGGAACAATAAATAGCTTCAACAACCCCAAATGTGACATGCTTTATAAATATTTTTTTAGTGAATCTCACACGCTTTATAGTTTTTAATTAGCGAATGAAGATTTGGTGATGTAAATATGGGGTTTATTGCACCAAATCCCCCTATATTATACGAAATCTGCGCGTTTTCCCTTTATATTTTAAAAATTGCGTCAAACCCCCTCGTATTAATGTTTTCATGCACACTCGCCATTTAATGTTAACGGCGTTATTTTAATACTGACGACGTTACTTTTTTACTAATTTTACCATTATACCCTTACTTTATCATTGATTTTACTATTTTACTCTTACAACTAATATGTTGAATTAAAAACAATGGCAGGAATCGAACCCATAACCTTTGGGTTGCAAAAAGACACTTTGACCAACTCAGCTATTAGAAATTTAATTACTATTGTGACTGTATCTATGATACAACTCAGCTATTAGAAATTTAATTACTATTGTGACTGTATCTATATATATCATACGAAATGACGGAAATAATATAATAATGAAGTATATAGGTTCTAAATTATAAATAAGATAATAATTTAAGTAAATATTTTCTAAGTTGTAAATATTATAATAATTAAGTAAATATATTCTAAATTACTAATAATATAATAATTCGATATATAAATTCTATATTTTAAATAATATAATGATTAAGTAAATATATTCTTAATTAAAAATAATTTAATGATTGAACAAATAAATTCTATATTATAAATGATATACCAATTAAGAAATAAATTTTAAATTATAAGTAATACAATAATAAAATAATTAAATTTTATAAAAATTTAATAAATAGATTATATAAATAATATAATAATTGAATAAATTGTATTCTAAAGTATAATTAGTTATAAATTATATAACAATTTAGTATATAGATTTATACTAATTGAGTTGATATA